ATGAAACACCGGATTAGCACAGAGGTAGGTAGCCCCAAGATTATCACACCACAAGGTAGCTGGTTGACCAGAATGTAATCCAAGTTCACGTAGTAAGGAAACCACCCAAGTAACTTCGGCAGAAACATCAGCCAGCGCCTTATACTCAGCCTCGGTAGACGAACGAGCAACTGTACGCTGCTTCTTTGATAACCAGGAAATGAGATTTGACCCCAAATAAACTGCAAACCCACTTGTGCTCTTCCTATCTATTGGACACCCGGCCCAGTCGGAGTCCGAAAAGGCATGTATAGTGGTCGAAGAAGATGGTGTTAACCGTAGCCCGTAGTGAATCGTTCCTTTAATGTAACGTAGTACTCGCTTAACCAGACTCCAATGATCAACTGTTGGCGCATGCATAAATTGACAGAGTCGGTTTACCGCATATGACAAGTCTGGTCGAGTAATGGTGAGGTACTGTAAAGCCCCCACAACACGACGGTATTGTGTAGGATTGTCAAACAACTCGTCAGAAGGAGTAACAGCCTTGGTGACCGCAGCTGGTGTAGCCAGAGGTTTACAGTCAAGCATGCCTGACCGACCAAGTAAATCAGACATATATCGGCGCTGTGAAAGAACAATATTATCCCCATCTGTTACTGTCTCAATCCCTAAGAAGAAACCTAGTGCTCCAAGATCTCGGATTTTAAAGACCGAGGCAAGACGGTGTAATAAGTCACAAACCAAAGCAGAGTCATTGCTCATCATAATAATATCGTCTACGTAAACCAGTAAGTAAACCCGAGAAGTCCCCTTAGTATAGTAGAACAAGGAGACATCAGTTTTAGAAGCCCTGAACCCTGTAGAAAGCAAGAAATCCTGTAGCCTTTTAAACCAAGCCCGGGGAGCCTGTTTGAGGCCATAGAGAGACCGTTGTAGTAAACAGACATGACCCGGACTAGTTGGATCTTCGTAGCCTGGGGGTTGTTTCATATACACTGTTTCTGCCAGATGACCGTTTAAGAAGGCATTGTGTACGTCTAACTGGCGTAGTGTCCACTTGTTTGACACAGCAAGCGAAAAAAGCATACGCACCGTGGTGGGTTTGACCACGGGGCTAAACGTGTCAAAGAAATCCTCCCCCGCTACCTGGTTGAACCCTTTTGCAACAAGACGCGCTTTATAGCGCTCCACCGAGCCATCGGCATTGCGCTTGGTCCTGAATACCCACTTACACCCAATAATATTCATATGTGGTTCCAGTGCCACTAATCGCCAGGTATGGTTATGTAACAGGGCATTAAACTCTAGATCCATCGCCTCCCGCCAATGAGGGTGTCCGACAGCCTGGGAGTAACAAGATGGGTCAGTAGTTACTGTTAATGCCTGAAACGGCTCATCTGTGCCTTTAGTCATATGTCGGAGACGCATGACATGATCCCGGCTTAGAGGCTGAATACGAGCTCGCGGCTTTGCAGGTGCGGTGTGAGTAATGGCCAAAGGTGGCGGTATACTCGCCAAAGGCATAGGTTCAGGACCTGAGGGAGGAGGTGGCGGTGCATGTGCCGGTGGTTCAGATTCCGGTGGAGAGTACGAAATAATGGGCATAGAAGCCCAAGGTACCGAAGGTGGTGGTGGTGGTGCCTGCATCACACTACCTGTTTCAAAAGGAAACACATTTTCGTCAAATCGGACATGGCGACAGATGTAGGTTCTCCCACTCGCCAAGTCGATGCATCTATATCCCCTAAAGGAGTTTGGGTAACCTAAGAAGACGCAGGGTGCTGAGCGATACTCAATCTTATGCCTGTTATATGGGCGTAAGAAAGGGTAGCACCGATACCCGAAGACACGAAGAAAAGTGTAGGGTGGTGGTGTATTATAGAGACGAGTGTATGGACTATTAAACTGTATAGCAGACGAAGGTAAAAAATTGATTAAACAGGTAGTCGTTTCGAAGGCGTAATCCCAGTATTGTTGCGGGACTTTGCCTTCAGCTAGTAGAGCAAGCCCGGTTTCGACAATGTGTCTATTCCGACGCTCCACACGGCCGTTTTGTTCATGTGTATAGGCACATGACTGACGGTGATTAATTCCCAGTGTTTGAAACGTATTGTGCAGTTTGCGGTATTCACCCCCTAAGTCCGACTGAATTGATTTGATAGAGCGCGAGAATTGTCGCTCTACCAGGACCCGAAACGAATCAAAGATTTTATAAATATCTGATTTCACCCTTAATGGGTAAAACCATCAGAAACGGGAAAAATCATCTACAAATAGAACGAAATACCGAAAGCCATTTGTAGATATTACAGGTGACGGACCCCATATATCGATGGTGGCCGGCGGACACGGAATGGTCCCATCAACGTAGCCGAGCAAATCCTGACTCCGGGGGAATGGGAGCAGTTGTGTACGCCAGAAGAGAAAATTACGAAAGTTTAGCTTCATGGACACAAAGTGGTGCGCCCCGTTGAGAGGATTGGCGCTGGCCGGAGACGGAGAACCAGCGGCCGAGACAGTGCGTTCCGATGAGCTAGAAGCCATGCTGACGGAAGGTGGTGGTGAGAGGGGGTAAATTTAGTGGTGGAGATAGATTCTACACCTGACTTGATACCAGATGAAAGATGTGAATCGACAATTAGATTAAGCAATAGAATAGGAGCTACAAGTATATCAGAAATAGACCTCTAACTAACGCTGAGTAAAAGTCTAAACTAACTACACTATTCTATAACAATATTTGACTATTACAATTGTAACACAATAAGAATAATAATATTAATATAACTAACACTTAGCAAGGGCAACTCAGACACCAACTACACTATTCTATAACAATATTTGACTATTACAATTGTAACACAATAAGAATAATAATATTAATATAACTAACACTTAGCAAGGGCAACTCAGACACCAGACACCTTGGTCTAGTGGTCTCTATCTCTATCTTATACTTTCAATCCAGCCACCTGGGTTCAATTCCTGATATCTCTATCTTATACTTTCAATCCAGCCACCTGGATTCAATTCCTGATATCAAGCTATAGTGTGCCCATTCCTTGGGCCACGTTCTTTGTACGTACTATTTTGGGCCTAGCGCCCTGAGTAATAAGTCATTACTTTCCTATACCCGGTCCCAATAAAACCATCATAATGAAGCACACAGAGTCGACAACACCTCCACTGAGGCTCGATCTCATGACCTCCCACATGAGAGAGGCCACTACATGTCATCTGAGCACAAGTTGAAACTAACAAATTTCCATTAACCATTTTAAACTGAAATATTTCAATTAAATTAATGATTTAAGTATTTTTAAAAATTTCATTAATTCAGTTTAAAAGTATATATAAATATATGTTTAAATTTTTTATAATTCATAAATTATAAAGTCTAGTTTTTCAAATTTTATCATGTATGTATTAATGTAATGATTATTTTTGTAGGGTTAAACTTTGAATTTACAAATTTTATTTATATATTTTAATTTCTTTTGAATTAAACTAAAATATTTTGATTAACCAGTTAGCTAAAAAGAATTAATTCATTTAATTCGAAAATGGGAATTTCAATTTAGTTAAGGGAAAATTGCACTTTTCATCCCTAAGTTATTGAGTAATTGTTGAATTCGTCCCTAAGTGTTGGTCATGCTCACTTTTTGTCCCTAAGTTATCATTGGCGTTGCACTTTTCGGCCCTGAGTTATAAGGTAATTGTAGGATTCGTCTCTAAGTGTTGGTCATGTTCACTTTCCGTCCCTAAGTTATCATTGACATTGCACTTTTCGTCCCTGAGTTATACTAAAATTGCAAATTTTGCCCATAATCACTGCTACATAAATGGTGTACTACGTCACTTTTTAAATAACCGTTGTCTAATATATTGTGTTATACACTTATACTACGTCACTTAATAGACGACAATTGTTTAAATAACTACCTATATAGTTGACATACACGAGAGTTTTTTAACTACCGTATATAGTTAACATACACGACGATTTTCAAAACCGTTGTAGAAAGTGTATATTTACAACGGCAGTCACTTACACGCGCGACACTTCGAAAACTGTCGTGTATATGTAAAAAAACCACCGGTGGTTATTTAAAGTGTATGACATAAAAAAAAAATTAATTAAGTTATATACGGCGGTTATTTAAAAACCCGTTGTCTATTAAATGACGTAGTATAACAAAATATATAAGATGGTGGTTATTTAAAAAACATCCGTCTATTAAGTGACGTAGTATACCATTTATGTAGTAGTGATTAGGGACGAAAATTGCAATTTTAGTATAACTCAGGGACGAAAAGTGCAACGCAAATGATAACTTAGGGACGCAAAGTGAGCATAAACAACACTCGGGGACAAATTCTACAATTACTCTATAACTCAGGGACGAAACGTGCAACACCAATGATAACTTAGGGACGAAAATTGAGCATGACCAACACTCAGGGATGAATTCTACAATTACCCTATAACTTAGGGACGAAAAATGCAATTTTCCCTTTAGTTAACAATTAAAGCATCTTCTAAATTCAATTATATCAGTTTGATTATTAACCAAATTAACTGAACCAACGCTCGTAATTTTACTTGTGTTGAAGATGGGTCAAATCAATTTGATCATAGGGTTGGAAAAGATGAAGATGAAGGGTTCCCAGAAGGATCTGAAGTGTCTAAGCTACACATTTCCATGCCTAATTTTAGTTAATTGGGTAGAATGTTGAAAGTGAATAAAAAGAGGTTTCCAGGTGCCTTCTTGACTTCAACACAAGTCCAAATCCCAATATTTTATGCAACGAAAGGGTCTTATCGTTGCCAAATCAACACTGAATTTTCTGGGCATTGAAAAAACAGACCATACATTCATGTGAGGAAGACAATTATGCCTGCACATCATGACCATTCCACCAAATTAGGTCTGCAGTTCTCACTTCAATGCTGATTTGCTCTACTTCTGGGAAATTTCTCACAAAAAGAGAGAGAGAGAGAGAGAGAGAGAGAGAGAGAGAGAGAGAGAGGGGTTTTGACTCTGCACCAAACAGATGCAATCAGCAGATCACTCACCAGCCATTTCCAAAACTCTAGCTGGAAAGTGTGCGAACGGGCGTATCTAGAGTGCCGAGATTGACAGGTTGTGAGTCATCACCACGCGGATGTCGCTTCGTGAAATTTTTTCTTGATGGATCTGAAACTGCTGCTGCCTTTATCAGACAAGTGTAGTGATGCGCTTCGCTTTAGAAGATCCGCCATCAGAGGCGAATTAAAACCGGACTCCTCTGATGTGCTATCATCGTACTCTGCTCACAAGGAGAGTTATATTTCAGTAGTGAGCAATGTGTGGCTAATTCAATCTGTCTAAATATAATAACCAAATTGTTGGATGAGATAAATGTGGGAGAAATTTGAATAGTACCCGAAGATGCGGGAAGGTTATAATGCCTCTTCAAGAACTTCGAGGCCTCCGTGTCCTTCATGTGACATAATACACGCATTAAAGTCTGGGCATCTCCTACATTCCTTGATCCGTTTTTGTGTGCACCATGTCCTACTGAAATATGCTGACTAGAAGTCATCAACATTCTTATCACAGAGTCGGCCTACACAACGGAAGGAAAATATCAAAAATCAGAACCCGAACCTGCTAATGTGGGAGCAAAGAATTGTCCATTCTAAACGACTAAACCTGGAGGGAAAACAAGCTTAGGATCTGTTGCGTAATTTTGGAATCCTTCTCAACGATTGACCGGGGAAGCCCCTCTCCATCAGCGACAAACAAATCCTAAAAAGTAAAGAAATAAACATTTATTTTAAGCGCACAGTTATTACAGTTGATGATGACACACAATGATGTACTTGAGCAGTTCGGCGCGTTTGCTACTATAGTCTATAGAGTAAACAACTTTTTCCCCCTTTTCACTTGCAACATGTACTTGCAGGATTATAAAAGATATATATATATATATATATATATATATATATATATATATATATATATATATATATATATATATATAAATAAAGAAGGCAGACCAAAAAAAATGTAACGGCAAAGTGAACTTACTTTTAACATATTGAGGTCTTCTTCCATTATTGGAACATCTGAGTTAGAAAATGCACGTGAAGGGCCCCCATCCAATAACACCCAAATATAACCTTCCTATGCAAGGAATACAGAGTCAGACCAGAAAGCAAATCATTACACGCAAGTTTGTAGGAGTAAAGACTATACCAAGGATGACTTATAAATACTTGAAACTGCAAGGTCTCTAAGTCCATCATCAATCAAACCACAAACATTATTGAGAATCTGCAATGACAAAAACCCGAAGTGAGACAATCCAGGATAATCCTAACATTCAACTTGGAAATCATGATGCCTTTGCACACACACATCCAGTGAACCGAGTTATGGTATTTTCTGATACGCACCCAAAGGAATGAGTAGTTTACTTTACTCATGCAATAAAAGGAATGTATACAAGAATGGAAATTAGGCAAAAAAAAAAAAAAAAAAAAAAAGGAATGAACGGAAGAATGGAAATCAGGAAAATCAGAATGCACATATCAGGGAAAGAGCAACTTAAGGGATTAGACAGAATAAATCAGACACAATTATCTCCTTTTCTATATTTATTTATTTCTTTGCACTATAAATTAGAATCTCTAGATGAGAGGAAAACATTCCTTAGTCTTCAAGCTTTAGTAGTTGGGCAAGAGCCTAAAACTCTGGTTGCGGAAAGTCATAGTGACAATCCTATTTTTTTAATTTCAATTTACAGTCAATAAAGGTACTTCCTTGTTATTTTCTCTAACATTTTCTTATCCTTTTCAGTTTCAACAGGGTACACAAATGAGAGATAAGATGAAATTTCTAAATTTCTTACACTGTCAAACTGTGGAAGTATACTCTCCAGCCGAGCACCTTCAACACTGTTGTGATACAAATGGAAAACAAATGGCTCCCTGAGATCCCAAAACACAACTCTGGCACCTAAAATTTAAGTGAAGAAGAATAAGACTAATTGTCATTGCAACTATTAAGGTTTCCAAAACAAGGAATCTATACTGAAAAATAATAAGTCTTAAATATTTTTTGACATTATTTAGCTCAGATTGCCTTCAAAAGCTCTGAGATGGCATAGAAACAAAATTGTGGAGCTATATCAAAATTAGAAGCTTTAGGTTCTCTTTTATCTTTATTTTTGGTTTATAAGGGGAAAAGATGTTACACGTATAATACTTTAATAATCTATTCCTACCATAAGAAATGAACCATCTAAATTTTTATTTACTAGTTAGCTTACCTAAAAAATCGCAAGTCTTTCGGATAGCATTAGTAGCAGAATCTCTTATGCAATCAAAGGTGGCTGCAAAAAGCTCATCTATTGACTCATCGGACATATCTGAAATTCCATTTGAAGACTCGGGAAAATTCCCTTCAGCTGGAGGAAGGAGAATGAACATTAGTAAAGTCATTATTCTCAAATGAATAGCCTCATCCAGAATTCATCTGCTCTCAATGTTATACTTAATTCAATCATAATAGGAGTGAATTATTCGACTAGTAGACTGACATTTTAGAAGACACTTAACCTCAGACAGAAAGTAGTTTTTACTTGACAAAGACTTGGTGTGTGTGTGTCTTGCCTAAATACAAGCTGCTTAAAAATCGCTTGTTTAGTTGTTTTAGATGTAAGATCTAGAATACCTGGCAACCTTCATCAAACAAAACTACTGCAGCATACATATGGATCAATCCAAAGAACAATTACGGTCAACATTTAACTAAACTACTACAGCAAACTCATGTAGCAATATAGAGAAGTACCTATACAGGTTTAATATTTGTTCAAACTCTACAATCTTACAGACAGAACTTACAGCACATCTGATCTCTAAAAGCTTTTATGGTCGACCAAGACTTCCGAATACCATCTTCAAGAGTGGCAATTTGTCTCTGTATATACTGCATTCAGAAACGAGGTACGAAAAAAGAATATTGATACAAAATTAAATGATAGAAGTTAATGAGAAGAACAGGTTTAAGAAAGGTAGTATTATAGTGGCAGAGAAAGCATCCTAGAGAGAAAAGTTGAATGATTCAGAAGTTTTAAGAACTCTTCTAATTCATTAACGTACCATTCTTTTCTTTTTCTTTAAGTAGAAAAAACTCTGATTGTTTACTCCCAGTATTGAACTATTGGTGAAAAAACATGTCAAAATCTCACTTCACAGTAAAGGTAATTGTTTTCCTTTCTTTTACTAAAGAAAAGTTTAAAATTCAGTCATATAAAAGAGAGGGAAAAAAAACATTATTGCATCACATGATGTGTAGTCATGCGTTCCTCTTAAGTTTAACATTTTTAATTCAATGCAGGCAATTCAAAGAGCTCTTAAATAATAGTCAATTCAGTCATATAAGAGAGAGAGAGAGAGAGAGAGAGAGAGAGAGAGAGAGAGAGAGAGAGAGAGAGCATTATTGCATCATATGATGTGTAGTCATGTGTTCCTCTTAAGTTTAACATTTTTAATTCAATGCAGGCATTTCAAAGAGCTCTTAAGAATAGTCCACATGCTCACAGAAGCCTCTTGAAACAAAAACATACATTTTAGTTGTTGATTTGTGCAAATGACAGATTTTTCTCATATACCGCCAAAAAAAAATCTGTTGGCGGTATATGAGAAAAATCTGTCATTTGCACAAATCAACAACTAAAACGAGGTAATATAGACAATAAAGTATCAGTGTCTTGACATATTAAAAATTACCAGAAGAAAGAATTACACTCACTTGAAGGGTGTTCAATCTGACACAAAGTTTGGATGCTGTCAAGTGACTCAACTTATCATTCACTCCATTGTCAAGAACCACAGCTTCTGTCAATTTTCTCTTAATTATTGGAAATGTTGTCTCTTTGTAACGAGTCAAAGGAGGAGCAGGAGGATATAGATTACTCTTGTCAACTGCAGTATAAAAAGAGTTCAAACTGAGATCCAAGGTACTTCACATTGACAAAACACAAGAAATGTAAATAAGAAGAAATAAAGTAATAATTATTTGAAGGTGGAATAACAAGCCCTATAGGTAAATAAAAATCATGTCACGATGTTGGAGACATGTTTGACCAACATTCAAATTATAATACTAGCCAAATATAAAAATTAAAAAAAAAAAAAATCATGACATCTCTATAGAATATCTTAACACTATTAGGACTCTTATATTTGTAGTCCATTAGGACTCTCTGTCTATCTTTCTATATCATTATTGTACAGACTCTGTTAACGGTTATATTCATTAATCCAATCCTCATCTGGTATCAGTATCCAGGTCTGCTCCATGGCAACCTTGGGAGACGATAATGGCGGTTCTGTTCGTGATTCTTCCGAACGGACTGTGTCCGAGGTTGCTCCCACCCCTATTCACCCGAACCCTAGCCTTTCTTCGGCTCACCATTTTGTTTCAATTAAACTTACTGTCCACAATTATCTTTTTTAACGGACTCAAATGCTTCCGTTCTTGGAAGGCCAGGGCCTACTTTGGCTCTGTTGATGGAACCATGCCCTGTCCGGTGGCGGTTGCGCCGGTGGAGTCCACGGCGAAGAGCAGCGGTGCTGCAGCTTCTGGTTTGTCGATTTTTGCTTCTGACCAGTGGCGTCGACAGGACAAAGCAATTTTGTCTCTTTTGATTTCGTCGTTGTCTGATAAGATGATGCATATGGCGGTTGGCCGGTCGACGTCGTGTGCTTTGTGGCTGGCTATTGAGCAAGAACTGGGGTCGGCGACACGGTCTCGTGCACTGCGGCTTCTTGGCGAGTTGCAGGCGCTATCGCAGGGAGGATCTTCCGTCTCTGATTATCTCGGCCGTGCAAGGATGCTTGTGGAGGATTTAGCTCTGGCCGGACGTCCGATCACCCTCGACGATCAAAACATTTATGTATTCCGTGGGTTACGGCCGGAGCTCCGTCCTCTCGTTGCTCCATTGACGCGTGGGTCTCCGGTGACGCTGTCCGAGCTTTCGGATTATTTGACCTCTCAGGAGTGGATTTGTGCGGCTGGTGGAGGTGATTCTGGTTCGCCGGCGGCTATGGCAGTTCACCGTGGTCGTGGCAGTCGCGTAAGCAGTGGGCAGATGCGTGGTGGCTCGGGCAGTGGTGGCTCGGGCGGTGGTGGCCGAGGACGAGGTGGCCAAGTTGGCAACGGAGTTCAAGATTCAGGATATGGGGGCCCCGTCTTTCTTTCTTGGTATTGAGACTGTGCCGCTCTCTGATGGTGTTCTGCTCTCTCAGCGGCGTTACATTCAGGATATTCTTAAGCGTGCCGGGATGGTGGACTGCAAACCGGTCTCGACCCCGGTTTCGGTTGTCCGTTCTGATGATGTTGACGCCACTCCTTATGCAGATCCCACTCACTACCGTAGTTTGGCTGGTGCGTTGCAGTACTTGACTGTGGCTCGCCCGGATTTATCTTATGCGGTTATTCGGCTTTGTCAGCACATGCAGTCTCCCACCACGGCTGATTGGAGTCTGATGAAACGGGTCTTGCGGTATGTTAAAGGTACTCTTGGTATTGGTCTCTGTGTTCGCAGGTCTTTGTCTACTGCTATTCATGCTTTCTCTACTGCTATTCATGCTTTCTCTGACTCGGATTGGGCCGGCAATCTGGATGATAGGAAGTCTACGAGTGGTTTTGCAGTATATGTGGGTAGCAATCTGGTTTCCTGGTCGTGTCGGAAGCAGCGCACTGTGGCGCGTTCTTCTACTGAGGCTGAATACAAGGCCTTGGCTGATGTCTCGGCTGAGGTTACATGGCTCGTTTCGCTGCTTAGAGAAATTGGTGGCGCGTTCTTCTACTGAGGCTGAATACAAGGCCTTGGCTGATGTCTCGGCTGAGGTTACATGGCTCGTTTCGCTGCTTAGAGAAATTGGTTTCCCGCCGGCTTCTACGCCGACTCTCTGGTGTGACAACTTGGGTGCCACCTATCTGTGTTCAAACCAGGTATTTCATGCCCGGACGAAGCATGTGGAGATTGATTACCACTTCGTTCGTGACAAGGTGACCAAGAAAGAGATTCAGGTTCATTTTATTTCTACGAAGGATCAGCTGGCTGCGAGACAAACTCAATGTTGCGGCTGCCCCACCTTGAGTTTGAGGGGGGTATTAGGACTCTTATATTTGTAGTCCATTAGGACTCTCTGTCTATCTTTCTATATCATTATTGTACAGACTCTGTTAACGATTATATTCATTAATCCAATCCTCATCAACACTTTCTCATCAATAAAAAGAACGAAGAATCCTTCATATGTATTAATAGTTCCCAAGGGCAGACTTATCCAAAGCATATGTTCAAGGATAATGTTCAAGGTTAAAATAGGTGCAAATTGGCAATGGTGCATCAATGTTGGAATTATGGACATCTACTGTTAGAAGCCAATAGCTTATAGCTTATATTAAATAGATAGAATACTGATGGAGTTTATATATAAAGTAAACCACAGAATTCAGATGGCTCAAAAAAGTGGAGAACTATGATATAGGACATTTTAGGGGATGATAATATTCACATAAAACTAAAAGACAGGTTCTACTGCATGACAATTATGCCAGCTAGTCTGTGTGGCAGAGGGTGGTGGCTAACATGGCAGTAAAATACCCATGAGATGACAGCGGCTATGTTTGGCAAACCTAGATGAAAAGCTAGCTAAAAGCTGAAAAGTTATAAGCTAGAAGCTGAAAACTGAAGAGTTGTTAAACTAGCTGATTATGTTTAAAAGTGATTGGTAAAAATAGCTTTTTGAGGAGTTGATAAATGTAAAAAGACTAAAAATGACATCTTTATAAAATTTAAATAGTTTTAAATTTAAATAAGTTTGTTCACATATTAAAATTTAACATTTTGGAGTGTAGAGATTTATAGAATCTTATAGAACATTATAGAACTCGTATGATTGTATAGAATTTTAAAGAAGATTTTAGAGATATAATCATAGTCATACAATCAAGTAATCTCTACCGTCCGTTGAGAACGTGGGATAAGTATAAATAACCTCATGAGGTTCATTTTGTAACAATCCACGTGATCTAGTAAAGCTTATGGAGTAATTGAAAAATAAAATGTCTTTTTTTTTTCCCAAAATTAAATAAGAAAAGAAAAGGCCAAAGGGTTTTAATGGGTAAAAAATGTCATTTATTTAAAATAATAACGATAAAAGATAGGAAAAAAAAATTTAGAAGCTACTAGCTTATTTTGGAACATTACTAGCTTAGCGAGCAACAAAAACCAGAATATTAGCATAGAAGTGAGAAAAGAATATGTTTCAAAGTAAGGCATAAGTAGTGCAAATTAGGAGTAACTACCAGACAAGTGATTCTACTGGGATAAAACACTAAGGGTGCGTTTGGAAACCCGTAAAATGACTTCTGAAAAATGTTTTTTAGGTTTTTTGTGTTTGTAAGGGGAAATGAAGTCAATGGAAAATGATACCTTAGTCAAAGGAAAATATGCATGTTTTGGAGGAAAATGCAAATTAGGAGTAACTACCAGACAAGCGATTCTTCTACTAAGATAAAACACTAAGGGTTCATTTGGAAACCCGTAAAATGACTTCTGGCAAATATTTTTTAGGTTTTTAGTGTTTGGCAAATAAGGGGAAAATGAAGTCAATGCAAAATGATACCTTAGTCAAAGGAAAATATGTATGTTTTGGAGGAAAATGACTTCCCCTTCTTTTTTTGGGAAGTCATTTTCCAATACACTAATTGTAGAGTGTATACATTACTATATACTATACCTAACTTATGATATAGTATATAGTGCACATATATATATATATATATATATATATATATACAAAATTGCCACCGCATTTTTTTTAAAAAAATTTTTGGTAATCTTGGACGTTGTTAAGGAATATATATTTAATATATAGAATCTCTATATATTAGGCAGTTTAAGGTTTTAGGTAGGTAGGACGTATGGAAACTTGTTTCCTATTCGTAGTTTTCTAGTACCTATTTATAGGGCTTTGTATTTTTTATTCCTATGAGAGTTTGATATAATATATAACAGCACATTAGAAACTCTCTCTTCACTTTCGTAACATGGTATCTGAGCCTTTACAATAATTTTTTTTTCCCGTTTCGTTGTCGTCACATTTTGACTAGCGCGTGAGCCTCACGTGCCGCCGGCGCGTGAGGTTCCTCCAACGACTGAAAAACGTTTTGGTCAACTTGTTCCTGGGTCGCCTAAGTCTGTTTGTCTTGGTTCTGGACTTAATTTGGACCATTGACTTTTGTTCTACGGTCAGTTTGTCTCGTTTTGATGCTGTTTATTTTGTTTCAGTCCTATCTCCCCTTTCGTTTTGGTGTTGTCTCTCCTTTTTTTATGCTCGTTGATTGGAGCATGCTTCCCTTTTGTTAGTAAAGATACTTCCCTTTTGCTAGTAAAGAATTTGTGTCCTCCAGTTTGGAGTTTGTCTTCTTTACTTTGTGTGTCCTTAGCTTGTTCAGTCCACTTTTGGTTCACCCGGAGTTGCGGTATTGGTGGAGTCCAAGCTTTCTAGTTCAGGGGAGGGTTCAATCCCAAGCTTGTTCGGTCCACCACGTTGAGTTCACCCAACTATCCGTAGGTATTGGTGGCGTTCACAGCTTTCGTTTCAGGGGGACTATCCAATTTCAAGCTTGTTCGGTCACTTTGTGTTCACCCATTGTTCGTGGGATTCGTGGCGTTCGAAGCTTTCGTTGGAGGGGGAGTATGAGTATCCAATCTCAAGCTTATTCGGTCAAAGGAGTGTCCTAAATGGACTTGAGTTATTTGTTATTTAGTTATTTTGGGTTATCACTCATTTGTGTAACAAGTTGAGCATTATTAAAATATATGCTCCAACTTGAGGGGGAGTGTTAAGGAATATATATTTGATATATAGAATCTCTATATATTAGGCAGTTTAAGGTTTTAGGAAGGACATATGAAAACTTGTTTCCTATTCGTAGTTTTCTAGTACCTATTTATAGGACTTTGTATTTTCTATTCCTATGAGAGTTTGATATAATAATATATAACAGCACATTAGAAATTCTCTCTTCACTTTCGTAACAGACGTTGATTTAAGCGAGATGAATGGCTAAGATTAAACCGCACAACCGCACCTGAGGCATTCACCCGCACCAGAATCAATTTATATATATATATATATATAGACATTCAAAATTATCTACACGGCTTATGAGTGCTATTCACATAAGGATTTTATCAAAAATATCAAACAATTAAAATTTTTAAGTATTTAATTCTTTTCATTTTCCTGCTCATTTTATGGAAAATGAACCAAACACACAAAGACAGTTTTACGTTGCATAGCCAAACACCGAAAAGGAAAATATTTTCAAGAAAATGATTCATTTTCCAAAAAACATTTTCCATAAGTCATTTTACAGGTTCGCAAACGCACCCTAAGATGCCACATGTAATAATCCCTTAGAAAACATGGGTGGATTAAAAGGTAAAACACTAAGGTGCCACATGTAATAATCCCTTAGAAAACATGGGTGGATTAAAAGGTAATCCTGACTAAATAATTAAATCAGAAACTAAATTAAACTAAGACAGACAAAAGCAAATATAATTTAAATTAATACCTAACTGGTTAACCAGTTTTTGCAAATAGGCATCCAAAGTGTGAAATATTATAGATAGTAAAGCCTGTAAGTGAGTAATATCCACTGGAATTCTCATCTCAAACAACTGATCCACAGTCTGCATGTCAAATTGATATAAACAAATAAGTATGTCAATCTGAAAGTATGTCAAATTGATATAAACAAATAAGTATGTCAATCTGAAAGCATGTCAAATTGATATAAACAAATAAGTATGTCAATCTGAAAGCACAGATACAAACAAACAGGAACACGCCAAAAACACCTAGATGCTCAACTGTATACAATAATACTAACCAGTAATTTAGTAACACATGAATGAAGAAATCTAGAAAATCAAGAAAATGCATTTGACTTTGATATAAACAATTAAGTATGTCAATCTGAAAGCACGGATACAAACAAACAGGAACACGCCAAAAACACCTAGATGCTCAAGTGTATACAATAATACTAACCAGTAATTTAGTAACACATGAATGAAGGAAATCTAGAAAATCAAGAAAATGCATCTAACTTGGAAACTGAAGAATGCTAAAATGAAGAAGGCCTATGAACACTGACCTGTGTTCTCTTCTTCTCTGTTTACTGTGTGTTTCTACAAGTATGAGACACTCCTATATATACAAGAGGGAGGGTTATATATGCCTCTTCACATCCATGTCTGTTCACCTACTTTTGACCCTTCACATACTTGTCTATTCATTTCTAACACTCCCCTCAAGCTGGAGCATAGATATTGAGCATGCCCAGCTTGTTACAAATATATTCAACCCTGTCCCTACTGAGCCATTTGGTGAACAAATCAGCTAGTTGCTCACCACTACGAACATGAGCCATAGAAATTAAGCCTTGTTGAATCTTTTCGCGCACAAAATGACAATCTACCTCAATATGCTTGGTACGCTCATGGAATACTGGATTATTTGAAATGTGTATAGCAGCTTGATTATCACACCATAAACGTATAGGCTTCATCACCTCCATACCAACCTCCTTCAACATATTGTGCACCCAAGTTATCTCACATGTCACGTGAGTCATCGCCTTATACTCAGATTCTGCACTGGACCGAGCCACAACAGTCTGTTTCTTGCTTTTCCAAGAAACCAAATTACCTCCTATGAACACACAATATCCTGTTGTAGACCTCCTGTCGCTCAACGAACCTGCCCAATCAGCATCTGAAAAAGCCTCAACTCTCATATGTCCATGATTAGCATATAGAATGCCTTCACCGGGTGCATTCTTGAGATACTTTACAATTCGAACTGCTGCCTCCCAATGAGCTCGCGTAGGTGCTTACATGAACTGAATTACCACACTGACTGGAAAAGCAATATCCGGACGCGTAATGGTAAGATAGTTCAACTTTCCCACCAACTTCCTATATCTCTCTGGAGAGTCAAAGGCCTCCCCTTCACCAGCTACAAGTCTAACACCCTGCTCCATAGGGGTCTCGCACGGTTTTGATCCCAACAACCCAGTGTCATCAAGCAAATCTAGCACATATTTCCTTTGCGAAAGGAATATTCCTTTTCGAGAGCGAGCAACTTCAATACCTAGAAAATACTTCAACACTCCCAAATCTTTCGTGTGAAACTTTTCTTTGAGAAAGGATTTAAGAGCTTCAATCCCCACTGCATCACTACCTGTGATTACTATATCATCAACGTAAACAATCAAGAGAATGCATCCAATATTAGTATGCTTGAAAAAGACAGTATGATCACACATACTCCTCTGCATACCAAACTCAATAATCACACTACTAAACCTCTCAAACCAAGCTCGTGGTGATTGCTTCAAGCCATATAGAGACTTCTTCAATTTACACATTTCTCAGACTCCCCCTGAGCAACAAACCCAGGAGGTTGCTCCATGTAGACTTCCTCAACCAAATCACCATGCAAGAAGGCATTTTTGACATCTAGCTGATATAGAGGCCAATGATTAGACACAGCTAAGGAAATAAAGATACGAAGCGAAGCTATCTTAGCTACAGGGGAGAATGTTTCTGTATAATCAACACCATAAGTCTGTGTATACCCCTTTGCCATTAAACGGGCTTCAAGTCTAGCCACCGATCCATCAGGATTCATTTTCACAACATAAACCCACTTGCAACCAACTGCAGTCTTACCGGACGGTAGGGGTACCAAATCCCAAGTATGATTGTCCTCAAGAGCAGCCATCTCTTCCTCCATTGCCTGTCTCCACCCATCATGAGCTATAGCCTGACTCAAAGTGTTTGGAACTGACACAGAATCTAAACGTGATACGAAGATGCGAGATGACAATGACAAATGATCATAAGATACAAAGGAAGAAATAGGGTTTTGACAATGACGTTTACCTTTACGAAGGGCAATGGGAAGATCCAGATCATTTGACGAAGATTCTGGTAAGGAGGAAGTATTCACTTGCGGTTCAAGCGACGCCACTGCATCTCTCGGCAGTCGAGTATAAACCTGTGTAATGGGGGGCCTAGAAACAGACTCGATTGGTATGGTAATAGTATATGTAAGGAAGTCATTATCTGGAATAGACCCATACCCAGACGATCCAACATCCCCAGAGAACACCATATTTTCAAAGAAAGTTACATCAGCTGACACTAGATACCGCCCCAAGTCAGGTGAATAGCACCTATAACCCTTTTGAGTATGTGAGTACCCCAGGAATATACACTTAAGTGATTTAGGATCAAGTTTCCTGCGTTGAAGACGGATATCCTGGACAAAACAAGTACCCAAATATTTTTGGTGGGAGATGAAAAAGAGGGTTCGTCAGATATACCAAGGAATAAGGAATTTGACCTTTAAGGACAGACGAGGGCATCCTGTTGATCAGAAAACATGCAGTATGAACAGCATCAGACCAAAAGACCTTAGGCACTTTCATTTGAAACAAAATTGCCCGAGCTACTTCTAACACATGACGATTTTTCCTTTTTGCAACTCCGTTTTGCTGAGGGGTATAAGCACACGAGGACTGATGAACCATCCCATTTTGGCTCATATAAGTGGAAAAAGATTTGGAGAAGTACTCTTGTGCATTGTCACTCCGTATACACTTAATAGTTTTATTAAACTGGGTTTTGATCTCAGCACAAAAATTACAAAAATTAGTAAACAGCTCATCCCTAGATTTCATAAGGTATAACCACGTACACCTAGAGAAATCGTCTACAAATATTACGAAATATCTAAACCCGTTCTTCCCTGTGACATGACAAGGACCCCAGACATCAGAATGAACAAGATCAAATATCGATTGTACTCTTTTATTGATATGAGGAGGGTAAGAACCCCGACAATGCTTAGCAAACTCACACGACTCACACTGCAAAGTAGACAATGACTCTAAACTAGGAAACAACTTCTTTAGGACTGACAGTGATGGATGACCATACCGACAGTGTAGTTGAAAAGGAGAGGTATCACTCAACATGGCCTTGGACGGAGATACAGACTGTTCCAAAACATATAGTCCTCCGACTCCATTCCCCTTACCAATAATCTTCTTCGTCAAAAGATCCTGAAATAAACAATAACCAGGGAAAAAGGAGACAAAGCAATTCAAAGTCCGTGTGATTTGGCTAATGGAAAGCAAATTAAAGGGAAACTTTAGAAGGTATAATATAGATGATAGGGGTAATGATGAGGTTGCAACAGCACTACCTCTACCTAAAACTGTAACAGATGACCCATCCACCAAAGTAACCATAGCCCCAGGGTTTGATGGAGAATATGAGGACAAAATATTAGAATTACCTGTCATATGGTCACTAGCTCCAGAGTCAATGACCCACTGTGTAGATGAAGAAGATACACATGCAACAGGATTACCTGTTTGGACCAGGGTTGCAGAAGAGGGCGGTTGATCGGACGGAGACTGAGATGGAGACTGCATAGAAGAATACACCTTCAGTTGATTGAATGCTGCTAACTCCTCATCTGTCATAACTACCATATGTCCTCCGGGGCCAGAGGTTGTGTTAGCAAATCTCTGTTGTCTGGGTGGTTTAGGACACTGATTCTTGAAATGTCCTGGATCTCCACAGTTGAAACATACCTTCGGTCCTCCACGACCTCCTCCACGGCCCCTTCCTCCACGTCCTCGATGGCGACCACCTCCACCTCGACTATTATACCCTCCGTTAGTGTACCCCCCTTACGACACAAACGTACTTCCTTCGTTGTTGCTTCCTTGTGATATAAAAACATTCTTCTCGGGAGGTTCATCAGTACTTACTGATGCATTCTGTATTTGATAGAATACTTGATCCAAAGATCCTAACTCCTTGTTTCCCAGCAATTGTGACCTAAGAACCTCATATTCTTTGTCAAGTCCAGAAATCCAGCTAAAAGCAATTAATTGATCACGTTGTATTTTCATTGTCTTTACATCAGTTGTAATAGGCATCGCAGTACACAAAGCTTCACTTAAACTTTTGAAATCATAATAGTAGTCCCGTAGATCTCGACCTTTTTTATTAGGACGATAGACATCCTGAGACAGCTGGTACAGTTTTCTCAAATTACTTGACCCACTAAACCATTCAAACACTAGATCCCACACTGCTTTAACCGTGGTACAATGTTGCATTGATAAGATCACTTTCCTATCAATACAATTAATTACCCGGGATAACAACGCTTTATCATTTGCCTCCCACTCCTTATCATCTGGAGGGCAATCTTTATCTAAATGGTCACCTTTACCCATTCCATCTAAATTAATTTTGACCAAAAATTTCCATTCAGCAAAATTAGATCCATCAGCAGCCAGGACTACGTCAATTAATTTAGACGGGGTAGACACAACTGTAATATTTTTGTTTTCAGCCATAATTTGTAACTTGTAAGTGCCCAAAAAAAAAACTTGAAAGGGATTCAATAGCACTGAAGTCAGTTCGCAGGTACTGACCTTCCAGTATCTAATAACCCTGGCAGTAAAACAAAGAAACACAGACAATATTACCGCAGTCCGCAGGTTCGTCTTCTCTCTCTCAGGATATGGAGTCGCTCGAACCTTCTTCCTCTCCACCCAGATGGAATCTACACTTCACGGCGAGCCTACCGGTGTGATCGCCCGCGAAGATGGTCGCCGGAAAATCCTTCACGCGCCGGCGCGTGAGTCGGCGAGCAGTGGGTGGCGGTGGCGTGTGGAGGCGCGTGGCTGCTCCGGTGACGTCGCGACTCGATCTTCGGCGTCGTCCTCCTTCTCCGAGCAAAGCCCACTACCTCACTCTCACTCTCACCCGCTCTGATACCATGAAGAATGCTAAAATGAAGAAGGCCTATGAACACTGACCTGTGTTCTCTTCTTCTCTGTTTACTGTGTGTTTCTACAAGTATGAGACACTCCTATATATACAAGAGGGAGGGTTATCTATGCCTCTTCACATCCATGTCTGTTCACCTACTTTTGACCCTTCACATACTTGTCTATTCATTTCTAACAGAAACCACTTTATTATAACTAATAAAACTCTTCTCAACAAGGAGCCTATGCTACTTATTTCAAACATTGGAATTAAAAGGCAGATGATTGGAAATAATTTCAAATCAAAAGTTTAAACAACATTTCCAAAGAGCTAATCAAGAAGCCTAAGCTCTAAATACCATTCTTATATGTAATTCGAGAACAAGAGAAAGTTAATGCCAAAGTGATAGAGAAAGGCATACCTCCTCTATGATCCTAAAAACTTCTACTGCAGAAGCTGCTTGTTTTTGCTGATACGACAAGGGTTCCCAATCCTGCAAGTATCACAGTCTATAGCTTATATCAACAGTGTATTTAATACAGATTAAGAAACATACTTTGAGTAAGAGGAATCATGAAGTGAATAAACAGGAAATATATCCAAGATAACATTTGCAAAATGCTACACTTTCCTACAGGTCAAACTCTACCAAAGCAACTCATGAACATAACTATACTTTTACAGACTTGGTGCATGCCTACAGCAGATAGAGTTTCTGTCAGATGTCAGTCTTTACTTCAGGTGAAATACAAACCTCAAGACCAAAGGCACGACCAGTCCATTCAAGGATCCGTGCATGCTGAGCAATTATCCAATCAAGAATAATTGGCCTTGCTACTTCACCAATCTGCCAGAAAGAAAGGGAGGTGGGATAACAGCAAATTAATCTAACTCCAGTGAAGTTAACAGAAGAAAGCACCATCGGCAATAACTGGAAATATGCACATAATAAGTTGCAAAAGAATTCATTGTTTAAAATGTTTACCACTTTCTTAATTAAAGCTTTTGAAGTGGAGTCCTAGACAATTTATAATGAACCACCGGATTTTTGCAGATCCTTTTTTTTTCATCCAATAGAAACAATTAAACAAAAAACAACAATACCCAGTACAAACCCCAGTAAGATAGGATAAATTACAACTTTATAATCCTTTAAAATCATGAACATAAACCAAAACAATCATGTTCATACTTTGGTTATACTAGAAGAGTAGAAGCAAAATTCAACAGTTTCAGACGATAAAGTCCCATCTTTTCTTTCTAGGTTGTGCTTATAAAAAATGGTAGGTTATACCTTAATATTTAGTTATTTACACAGTTGTAACAAAAACTAAATTGTCAAAAGAATGGGCATTACAAACTGCTAAAGTGCCAAGCCATTATTATAGAAATATTTATAATGATGCGAGGTCATAATAACAATCACCAAATTTAACTGGCCAATCTCAGCTTGGAATTTGACCCTGGGGCCTAGGATGGAAAAATGACCAAACTGCTCCCTCCATATATATAAATAGAAGGATGCCCTAGGTCATCATTTGCTTCTCTTCTTCTCTTTTTTGGTTGTACCTTTTTCCATTCTTGGCTCTGAAACAACCCCATGCCTACCAATCCCCAAACTGATAGCCAGTTGATTTTGCGGAAAGTTATCACAACCTCGGAAGATTTCAACCTTAATCTCAGCCCTAATCCCCACCATCATCACAATTGACAAAGGCAGCCCAAAGCCACTCCTCTTTTTAAATTTTGAAGTTACACATTTGTGAAATTAATTTACTTTATTCCTTGTCTCGATTAAAAACTATAATATTGGCATTATTGGGAGCAATGTGTTGGTGAGTACAATGAACATCATCAATGGAGGACTACAATTTGATTCCACACTATCTTTTTACTTGCACAGCTTTTCCATGAATTTTCTATTGCATTCTCCTATATGTGGCAAATGAATGCAGAACTTTGATGCCAAGGAGAATTTACTCAGGTTTTCTCTGTATATGTATACGTGATAATATCTGCACAATTTCAGCTTGAGAGCTTTAAGAGCTGCAGAATTGGAGAAGGCATAGTCCAGGGTGGAATATCCCACCTTTAATCCCCAAAATCAAATATGTGATTGTAAGGTGCTTTCTAAGTCCAGAAACTATGAATGTCAGGCTAGAATATTCCTCCAATCCCCCCAAGGTTGCAACTGAACAACCTCTAAATTCAATGATGTCATTTAAACACCTACCACCTCCCACAAATTCTCCAAGCAAATCAGAAGTCAAAACCAGATGGGAAGCTGCAACACTCTCATCATTCTTTTGAGGGCATGTTCACATAGAATTACATGGAACAGGTAGCAATTTTATGTCTCAAAATCTACATTTGCCTCAACAAATGTTCCACCAATAGTAAAGAACTAATTTATATATATATATATAGCAATTTCAATAGTAAAGAAACCTTATAATATTCAAATCCTTTGATGCATGGGGAATGTAGCCCACTCTCTTTTTGGCCCAAAGAGTAAAGCTGAAACAAGCAATCCTCCAAGAGAGCAGCTGCAGTAAGCACCTCCCTGACACCTTCAGAAAGGCACGTCACACCATTGAGAAATGGTTCCTATACAGAAAGGGGAAAACAAGCATCATACAGCTAACCACTGCCAAGCTAGTATAGACAAAAAACAGGTACTTCAAAAAGTTTACCAATCTTTCACCAAAAGTTTTGTGAAATTTCAGGGCTGAAGCAATCCCAGCTTCGGGACTAAATTGTCGGAGAATTGGATAAAATTGAGTCAATTCTTTCTCAGCAATTAACTTTAGTTCACTTGCAAGCAATGCCAAAGGTTGCATCCTATCTATTTTACAGCCAAGACCTATGGCATCAGTTACCTGATATCATTGAGATAGAACATAACCTTTTTGACATTAATTAATTGGTTGACAGAGAAAGAAAAGAAAAAACTATTAGCACATCAATTCATATAATACCCTCCTGCAAGCAGCTTCTATTGAACTCTCAACATAATCTTTGACCTTCCTATGAACAGTAGGATCCGAAGCATCAAAATCTGTGAACTGCAACAAGTAGGAACTTTAGGAGCAACTAACCACAGAAGAGTCTAACAGCTTGCAATGTCTGCTATATGCTAAGAACTCATAATACTTTTTTTTGTTAACAAAGAAGTCATATTATATATTTAGCAATCAATACACTTCACTATTGGCTATTGGTATTAAATGATGAAATTGGCATCAAAGGAACAAAGCTGCAGGTATCTTCCAAATGCTGGGCCCGGCCCCGGCCGTCACAAAATTTTGACCAAAAGAGAAGATATTAGCTGTGCACAAAGCCAGCAGCATGGCTTAATGTTTTCTCAAAGGTACTAAGAATAGATTGATTCTCAAAGAATTGGGTGATCCAAAGTTTACAGTCTATAGGGAATCAGACGCTCAAAGAAATTGTTCACAATAAATGGGCAGACCATTTTTTTAAGAAGCTTGGGCCAATGCCTTGAACATAGAACTGTTTTGGAGCTGCTACAAATATCAACAGAGGCATACACAACCAATAAAACTTTTAGTAATGGCAACACAGACAATGAGTGAAACCACTCTCAGGAAAAAGCCCTGGTGGTTACAATTCAAAAGACCTTAATCCCCTATGTAGACTATAATGAATTTGATAAGAGTTCTCTTGCCTCTCACCTAATGACACTACTTCTCCATCCAAAAAGTAAAAAATGAGTTCACTGACCCAAGGTTAGGCTCAGAGAGCAGGCAATCAAAGTTTCGTGGTTTCTGCAAGGGAAGCAAATGTGAAAAGCTTGCTAGGAGTTCAGAAACATGGAGATCAAGGAATTCAGTTGACCAAAGGAAAAAAACAAAAGAGTTATACTTCTAGCAAAAAGAATAGCACTTTACCCTTCTGGGGAATGAGGTGAAGGGGGATGTATAGGATGCAGTTGCATGTCTGTAATGATTTAATATTGTCATGTTCTCTCCCCTTCTGTGGAGTTAGCACTTTACATTATGAGGTTTACGGACCTAATTATCTAAATCAGTAATGCTACCTGGTTCTTGTCACATGAATCAAAACTATAGGGCCCAATTGCCAATGCCATGCTCATCACCCCCTTGAGTAGAGTAGGTTTCTGAAAAGTAGACAAAAATCATATCAGCAGGAAAATCTTTCATACAAAGAGATTAGTTACCAACTACATCCGTACAAAAATGACATTGAAGGAAACAAACCAAGCAAAAGAGATGACCTTAGTAAAATGCAGATGATAATCCTGCAACTTGCTGTCACACCAGAGACTAATGGAAAAAATAGTAGATTGTATCAAATTTGATCTTGTTTGACACCCATTGCAGGTAGTGAAACACAATAGACTCTCTATATAGTTCTCTTCCTTCTGGTCCTCATCTTCAGCAGACAGAACTTTCCGCATTTCATGAATCAAGTAATCTAAAAGTACTGCCTCCTCTGTCCCAACAAACTTTAATCAGCAAGAAAATGCATCAGAAATCTTATCAAAACTTGAGATAGATTAAGTTCCATCAAGCAAGATGATATCAAACTGCATCCCCAAAACTACAAGTGCCCAAAAGTGTAGTGAGGATATTAATAAAACATTCAGAGCACAAATAATGAGCATTTCCCACAATAAACACGTATAGCTAAATAATTACATCCAAGCACAGAAGAGATACCATGTTATATTAATAGTGCAGCAAACAACGACATTTTACTACATCCATAATACAAATAAATAAATAGAAGTAAATAAATGTGAAATCCTCAATGACGGGGGCCACATCAATCAGGAAGAACTAAGCCTAATTTTCTTGCTTAGCAGTTGGCATTGCAGAAATTGTGTAGAAGTAGAACATATAAATTTGTCAAACTATTTAGCCAACACAATATTCAAATGCATAGCATGTCTACCTGTTGAAAAAGCACCCATGCATACATCACATTATGGAGTTTCTGAGTAATGCCTAACATTGACCAAGTTGACTTGAGGAGCATCAGGATTTCAGCAGCTTCCTGAAATAGTTCAGAATCAGAAATATAAATAACGCCATAAATTCAATAACACAGATGAAGATACACCAATTATATACCTCTATAAGCTGGCCATCTTCAAGAATGTCAAATAAACCAAGCAGTAGCTTCTCATAAACTCTAACGTTCAACTGATAACCAGCACTCCAATAATAATTTTCACCTTGAATGCCATACTTAGGTGGCATACTTGATAATGTCAATGCTATATTCCTAATAGCTAATACGACCCTATTGCGTTCAGAGGGAGACACCCTAGTGCCCCAATCCTGAAACACAAACAAATTTCTTTAATTTGACTGAACAATATTCTCATCAAGAAAAAGTGAGTGATATTCAGATGTACCTCAGAATTTCTAATTCTTTCAACCAAGGCTTCAACTGATTGCTTTTCATTATTGACATAATCAGCAGAAGAAAGAAGTTCTTCAAGAATATTTGCCTACAATAGAACCATTTGATAGTAAAAAAGACAAAGCATAGAAAGTGAAATAACTTAGATCATATATTGACCTATACCATAGAAATTTTTACTAAGATAAATTTATATGCAACACCAAAGGCAAATTGTCCAATCAAATGAACAGATAACAACACTCAACATCTTACTGACACTCTGTTGACAAAAATAGCTATCTAGAGCCATCCTAAGAACAAACATGCTCATTAGATCATACGGAATTGATAGTTTCAACTTTTAAGGAGCAAAATTAGTAATATAACATGGCACAAGAATAATCAGTACTTGTCTGTTCTTCCATTGGATATATGACTTTTCATTCTGAAAATCAGACTTGAGCATTCCATTTAACAGTCCAAGTGAGATTTGAGGAACATCAACCTGCCCCAATGTTTTCCCTGTTGCGAAAGAAGCCAAATGTTGTCGAATAAGGCTGTCCATGGCTTCTGAGATCTAGTGAAGAAGAAATGTTAGTTATTCCAGCAACCAAAGGAAGTAAGGAAGAAAACAACAAATTTGAAAGCAAAAAATATAGGTAAGACATCGGCTGTCTCTTGCTGTCTGCGTCTAACTTCTGCACCTTTTTAAAAGGCATAAAAACAAGATAGATTTCCAAAGCAATCACTCTTCAATTGGAAAATGAAACTTTTCTTCAGCCAAAGACCCAAGTAGGGGACTCCAAATTTTGAAAAGTATATGTTGTAACAAGTCTCACCCTATTCATAACTCAAAATAATTCACAGCAGTCATCATGAATTTAAACTTATAACCCCTAAGGAGCCCCTAGTCTTCATAATATTAAATATTAAATTAAAAATAAACGGTTAAGTAGCAAATTTTTGTTCCAAAAGCCCATTTAGGTTATGTACATCATTTGAAAATTATAACTTTCCTTAATATCCCCAAACAACATATTTTGGTTGATTACATATAGAATAAATGAGAAAATTCTTTAAAAATGCAATTACATGCCTGCATCTGTGAGCGAAATATGTCAATGAGCTCTGACTGTCTATCAGGTGAATCAGATATTGGATTCCTTTTACCCCTTTTATTCTTCAACCCAGCCAGAAATCTAGAGCTCTTCTCTTTCTTTCTATTGTCACTCAAATGAAGTTCAATCCTACTAGAACAAGAAATACAGCTTTGAGAAAAGAAGCAGAGTAAAAGAGATCACAACACAAAACTGCAAAGCATATAGAGAAAGAGGAGATTTTTGGTATGCTGAAGTTCTGAATGGTGAGAAAGAAATGAAAATGTTCAAATACAAGCATATAAATACAGATGTAATAAAATATGAATGAGTAATTACCCAGAGAACACCATGCAAGCAAGGAATACTTCATAAGCAGACTCCCTCAAGTCATCATCCGATAATCCTTCAGAGATCCCAAACTTTATATCAGTTTACTCAGACAATATATGAATAGGAAAGAAATAATGCTGAACATAAGCACTATATGTTCGCTACATAGACTCATCATTCCTTCTCAGCAGAACCACAGAGAAATGTGGTAATACAAAATGAATTATTTTCATTTATCATTTTCTAGCTTTTGCTTGCTGTGATAAATACACACAATGAGAATACCTGTTTGTAAGGTAGGTAATCCAATTTTAAGGATGTGAACTTGATTCCTTGGAACTGGTCTTGTTGATTCAGAGGTTGCACGTTTTAATTCATACTCATAACTGGAAAGAGAACCTGAGAGATCAGAACCACGTGATGTATAATTGTTGTTATAGTTGTGTGCCGTGACAGGAGGTGGCATCCGCCTAGGAGGAGAACCAGTTGTTTCTGCACCTGAAAGAAGAAAATATGAATCCCCAAAGCGCGACTGCATCTGCAATAAAGGCAGAATAAGAAATATCACATATTTAGTCCAGTGAACAAAGAAATCCTCCTTAACAGACAGAAGGAACGAAACATTTGAGACTTCACCATTTTACCATCAAGAGTATAATACAAAGGCATTAAGCAAATGTAAAATGCATCTCATGTAATGATAAAGTTATTCATATTTTACTGTGTCAGTGTGATTTTGGAGAGATTGGAGGCTCCCTCCGTGTCAAAAGGAAAATAGGAACGAAAAACGCTATATGACCTTGCTCACACTGCATGCATTAACATTGAAACTCCAAACCCAGTTTGATACAGAATTATTTCAATCCTCATAAAGACATCTCAAGCATATAACTATGAACCAAATAGTCCATAACTAGCTGCAGCACTGATTTCAACTCAAAGTACAAACCATTTTCAATTTCATTCATGAAAAACAGAACTTACAATATAAAAATTTGATACTGCACTTACCGTGATTGGATGGTGAAGTTCTTCCCTATACTTTTTAGTCGCTATAGAAATATCAATCACTCCACCTAAAAGTAAAAGAAATGTATGTAGTTACATATGAAAAATGAACAGAAAACAGTAATTTTAAGTGAAACCAGAAGAGCTGAATTTCACTTACTGGATTGAATACATTCGAGAACATAATCAATGCTGAGCGCATCGAGATTGACGTGGGTGAGAGAGGCGGTGGGACCGGAAGGAGTTCGAAATTCTTTAACAAGGCCGGAGAACAACAGAAACTCCAGAAGCTTCCGGCGATCGCGGCGGTACTGTTGCAGCAGGGAAGCGCCCTCCATCGAATTTTACATAAGAAAGAGAAGGAGCTGTAGCTTTGGGCGAGCTGAGCTGCTAGGGATGCAGAGGAAGAAGGAGAAAAAGGAAAGGAAATGGAGGCATGCGCCGCGTTAGGGACTGGGGTAATCACTAATCAAGACTCAAGAGCGCCAAAAGACAAGCATAAAAGCCGAAGTCCTAGCTCTTTGACTTTTTCCCTTTATCCTCCTCCTCTGACCAGCTGTAACTAATTTATTAATCATTTTTCACTTTGGAGGTCGAATTTGCTTCTTTTTTTTTTTAATGTTTTTTCTCTTGAACTTTTTTTTCTTTTTTTAGGATAAAAGCGATATCATTAATAAAGGTTTGCAGATAAAGAACTAACAATGAAAGAAGGGGGGACGACATACAATCTAAACCCTACGATTAAAGGGATTCACGTGCTAATAGGTGGGCAATCCGATTCGCTGATCGTTTAACAAAGGAGATAGATGTTAGTAAATCTTTAATATTGTTGAAACCCTAGGCCCGTTACAGTGGGCCCATTAGGTTATAGCTAGTTTTCAGTATAAATTATTGTAATCTGTACAGTTCTATGTCAAGAAATAGATGAAACCCTTCATACTTTCACATGGTATCAGAGCCTAAACCCTAAATATTCTCTTTCTTCCCTCCCACCGTCGCCGCCGCCGCTGCTGCTGCCGGAGCCACTCTGCCGCCGCGACTGTTTCACTGTTCCGACGTCCACCTGGTGTTTTTCTTCCAAACGAACACCACAGGGGTTACCGGACCGTCGTCGCGAGCCTACAGCAGGAATCCGGTCGCCTATCTCCGCCGCACGCGCCGCCGCCGTCGCTGGACTGCCGCCCACTTTTCCGGCCAGATCTCTCTCCTCCGGCCTCCGATCGCGACACCGCCACCGCCGTTGGATTCGTCTCGACGAGGCACTTCCGGGAGTGTTGACTGTTTTCCTCGCCACCGCCCGCCGCCGCCGTTCTCCGGCCACCGCCGGTCAGGAAAAAAAAAAAACAGACAGTGTGTTTTTTTTTTCCTTTTTGGGTAATCTCTATGGCTTCCTTTACCTCTTATCCCACCATTACTATGGACAAATTGGTTGGGAGTGAAAACTACACTTCGTGGGCCGCTTCTGTGACACTCTGGTTCAAAGGCCAGGGGATGTCTGATCATCTAATCAAAAAGGTTGGGGAAATTGAAGAATCGAAGAAATCAGATTGGGAGAAGTCAGATGCGTTATTGTGCAATATGTTGTGGCAATCCATTGACCCTAAATTATATCTTATTTACAAGTCTTATGACACTTGTTATGATGTGTGGAATAAAGTTAAGTCATTGTATACTAATGATATCCAAAGGCTATATTCCCTTGTATCTAATATGCTTAATTTCCGTTCCACTGCTGATATGAGTACACAGGATTTCTTGGGTCGGATGGAAGCTTTACAGCAGGAGTATCATAATTTACTTCCGTATCAGGAGACGTCAGATAGTCATATGAAGCAGTATGATAAGTTCTTTATGGTGATGACCTTGGCTACCCTTCGGCCTGACCAGGTTCACATACGTGATCAGATTCTATCCAGTCCTAGTGTGCCTACCTACACTGACGCTGCTGCCAGACTGCTCCGTATTGCCTCAACTCCCTCGATTGAACCTATTGGAGAATCATCAGTTCTAGCTACTCGGGCTGTGGATAGAGGACCTTCTGGACCATCTAGTGGTGGTGGTAGTCGTCGTGGCAAACGTCCTCGGTGTGAATACTGCCACAAAGATGGTCATACCAAAGATCGTTGTTGGAAGTTACATGGTCGGCCTCCCCGTTCTGTTAATCTGGTCCAGGCTGCTGCATCCGAGAGTCAGACTCATGAGCCAACCTCTACCCCAGTTGAGATGACCTCTAGGGAATATGAAGAGTATCTCCAACTTAAAGCAGCATCCCGCCTTGAATCTTCCACACCTAATGCTGGTACTTCATCTTTAGTTTGTCTTTCACACGCCAATACTCCAAATTCTTGGATATTGGACTCAGGTGCTTCAGATCATATTTCCGGTAACCTTTCTCTTTTGCATAATGTGTCTAAGTCTAAGACTTTACCCATGGTCACCTTAGCTAATGGTCATCAAACACCAGCAATTGGTGTTGGTCAGGCTTCCCCTATATCGTCTTTTTCCTTGGAGTCTGTTTTATATGTCCCTAACAGTCCCTTCAACCTTATCTCTGTGAGTAAAATTACTCGTACTCTCAATTGTTCCATAACCTTTTGTGCTGATTCGGTTGTTGTGCAGGATCGCAATACGGGGAAGGTGATTGGCACCGGCAATGAGTCACAGGGCCTTTATTACATGCGGGGTGGTGATGTTGCTGCTTCTGCCTCTACAGAGTCTCCTTTACTTATTCATAGTCGTTTGGGTCATCCTAGTCTCTCTAAACTAAAACGGATGGTCCCAGGTCTGTCTATTGAGTCTTTTGATTGTGAGTCGTGTCATCTTGGAAAGCAATCACGTCAGTCTTTTCCGAGAAGAGTCAATAATCGGGCTGCGTCCCTCTTTGATTTAGTTCATTCAGATATATGGGGTCCTTGTCGTGTCAACTCTATTTTGGGTTTTCGTTATTTCGTAACCTTTATTGATGATTATTCAAGGTGCACTTGGGTTTTCCTTATGAAAGATCGTTCTGAATTGTTTCAGATTTTTCAAACTTTTTGTGCTGAAATACAAACTCAATTTGGCAAACTCATTCGTGTTTTGCATAGTGATAATGCTAAAGAATATCTCTCTCATCCTTTTCAGTCATATATGACATCTCGTGGTATATTGCATCAAAGGTCATGTGTTTACACACCTCAGCAGAATGGGGTGGCTGAGCGTAAGAATAGACATCTAGTAGAAATTGCCCGTACTATGTTGTTACACTCCCATGTTCATTCCCAATTCTGGGCTGATGCTATCCTTACTGCTTGTTACCTGATCAATCGCATGCCATCTTCTGCCCTTAACAATGACACCCCATATTCCATTGTGTGTCCTTCTGTTGATCCTTTCCCTATTCAACCTCGTGTTTTTGGGTGTGTTTGTTTTGTTCATGACATGACTCCGGGTCGATCCAAATTAGATCCTAAAGCAGTCAAGTGTGTCTTTTTGGGTTATTCCCGTGTCCAAAAGGGTTATAGGTGTTATTCTCCAGCACTAAAGCGTCACTTTGTGTTCGCAGATGTCACCTTTATTGAGTCCACACCATTTTTCCAGTCCTCATCAGGAGACACGATCCCTGTCTCTGAGGTGCTCCCCGTACCTTATCTTGGTCCACTTCCTCTTGTCCAGTCCACTGTTCCTCCAGCTCAACCGACTCCTCTTAACCCGCCCCTTCAGGTTTATCACCGGCGTCCTCGCCCTGCAGTTCCTGAGGTCCCTAGTGACTTGCCAGTACTGTCCGATCCTCCGGCTGCAGTTCCACCACTTCCACTGCAATCTGACGCTGATCTCACTGAGGCACCTATTGCTGTTCGAAAAGGTACACGTTCTACTCGTAACCCCCATCCTATATATACCTTTCTGAGTTATCACCGTGTCTCGTCCCCTTACTTTGCATTTCTTTCTCACCTATCTTCTGTGTCTATACCCAAATCCACTCGTGAGGCTCTCTCGGATCCAGGTTGGCGTCAAGCCATGTTAACAGAAATGGAGGCCCTCCAGTCTAGTAGCACGTGGGAGTTGGTTCCTCTTCCTCCTGGTAAAACTGTGGTTGGTTGTAGATGGATTTATATAGTGAAAGTGGGCCCTGATGGCGCAATTGATCGTCTTAAGGCTCGTCTGGTGGCAAAAGGCTATACTCAGATTTTTGGTTTGGATTATACTGATACTTTTTCCCCGGTTGCTAAAATTGCTTCAGTTCGTTTACTTTTGTCTTTAGCAGCCATTCATCATTGGGACTTACACCAGCTGGATATCAAGAATGCCTTTCTTCATGGTGATCTTCACGATGAGGTTTATATGGAGCAACCACCTGGGTTTGTTACTCAGGGGGAGTCTGGTATGGTATGTAAACTTCGCCGTTCTTTATACGGTTTAAAGCAATCTCCACGAGCTTGGTTTGGAAGGTTTAGTTCTGTGGTGTGTGAGTTTGGTATGACAAGAAGTGCAGTTGATCATTCTGTTTTCTATCGTCATTCTAATGAGAAATGCATATACCTTGTAGTATATGTGGATGACATTGTTATTACAGGGAGTGATCAAGAGGGCATATTTCAGTTGAAGGAGTATCTCTTTAGTCGGTTCCAGACTAAGGATTTGGGTAAGCTAAAATACTTTCTTGGAATTGAAGTGGCTCAATCTAGCAGTGGTGTTGTTATTTCTCAAAGGAAGTATGCTTTGGATATCTTAGAAGAAACTGGCATGCTGGACAGTAGACCGGTTGATAATCCAATGGATCCGAATGTTAAACTCCTACCAGGACAGGGGGAGCCATTGCCTGACCGAGAGCGATATAGGAGATTAATTGGAAAACTGAATTATCTCACGATCACACGACCGGATATCTCCTTCGCAGTTAGTGTGTTGAGTCAGTTTCTTGAGACACCTTGTGATTCTCATTGGGATGCTGCTGTTCGTGTTCTAAGGTATATCAAGAGAGCACCAGGACAAGGCTTAGTATACGAAGATAGAGGACATTCACAAGTTGTTGGGTATTGTGATGCAGATTGGGCTGGTTGCCCGTTTGACAGACGCTCTACTTCAGGTTATTGTATTCTCATTGGAGGTAATCTCATATCTTGGAAAAGTAAGAAGCAGGATGTGGTTGCTAGGTCCAGTGCTGAAGCAGAATATCGAGCCATGGCGCTTGCCACATGTGAGCTTATGTGGCTTAAACACCTACTACAAGAATTGCAATGTGGCAATGTTGCCCAAATGACGTTGATATGTGACAATCAAGCAGCTCTACAAATCGCGTCAAATCCTGTTTATCATGAGAGGACTAAACACATTGAGGTTGACTGTCACTTCATTAGAGAGAAGATTGTGTCAGGGTGTATTAAAACTAGCTTCGTTAATTCTGCAGATCAGTTAGCTGATATCTTGACGAAATCCCTTAGAGCTCCTAGAGTTGAATATATTTGTAACAAGCTGGGAGCTTATG